TTAATAATTTTGATAAACCTTATTACATAATTGAAGTCTATTTTTATAGGTTTTTTAAAAGCTTTGAATCATGTCGGTAATTTTGGGTAGGTACCGACTGCCCGCGGGTTCTAAAATCCTCATCGCTATAATTGCCGACCAACCCCAACCTCAATTGTAATCAGCCACTAGGTGTAGTTAAAACAGCGTATGACGCAGGCTTGATGCCCAACATAATACCGACAGCGTAAGGCGCGACTACTGCGTGCTATATTGGTAAATATAACCGACACATGTCTTTTTATTTTTATAACATTGTTAGAACGTTTTAATACTAGATGTGCTGAGTAAAGTTGTGCAAATTGTAGTGATGCAAAATATGAAATCCTTTATGTGTCTTTGCCAAAATTAACAAAAAAGTATAATTTGTAACCTGTTATCAAAACGTTCTGTGTAAGCTGGGTATACGTTACCTTCATTGTTTTGCATGTGTTTTAACATGTGTTTTTAAAAAATCATTTATTAACAAGAGACCTTATATCTATTTAATCAATGGATGTACTCCCTTTCACAAGTTGTCCACATTTGCACTTCCTGCCGTTTAATTATTTAATAATTGACGATGTTGAGCACGGAGGGTCCGTTTAGGTGACTCTGTTACGTTATAAACTCATTTAGTGTATCACTTAAATATGCCGCTCGAAGGCCTATGAAGACTTAGTTGATAGAGCTTGATAAATTTTTCCGGTAATTATTTAGAAATATTTCTGGATACTTATCGTCGATGTAATTGATGGTTAAATTATAATTTGAGGATTTGAAAGTTACTAACTTTCATATGCATCATATTTGTGTATATGCTATCCGCGTTTGAATACGTCCCAAAGTCACACTTGCTATGCCTGCACATCCTTCAAAGCTACGTATCTTTTCCTATTCAGACCGAAATAAGATGAAATCCCTCAAATAAAAAAAAAAAACTTACATCGATATTTCTTTCTGAAATGTACAGGAAGTGATGGCGGTGTAAGTTATTGACCAGTCAATAGAAATGATATGAAGCATTCATTTTTTTAAATTAGGACAGGAACGGGTCGAGAAATGATTTGTGAGTACAAGAAAAAGTTTTCGGAGAAAATTTAATTTGACTAGAAAAGGGATTATTATTTTGTCGAAAAATATCTTATATTTCCCGTGTCCAGTACCTGATCTGTGAACAGTACCAACCTTAACAGCAATCAGATATTCCATTCCAGTTACATTATCCAAACTCATAAGATTGTTACAGGATTGCTTTCGGAGTAAAGTTGGAAAGATTCTCTCAAACTATAAATAAAAACAAGAAAAATTATTCAAAGGCCCAATATAGGAGCATAATACGTTTTTCTTACTACATTTAAGGAAAGATAACTGATGAAAGCGACTGAAGTTTAGACCATCGGTACTAGGACATTATTTCAATAGGTTTGCACCAACTAACATAACCTAACAAATGCGGACCCCCCTACCCAATCAAAAGAGCACGGACTATTCCCAAACAAAATGACGTCTCAGGGCCCATTCCCATAGACAGCATCGGTCTATGTAGATCGATCCAACTCTGCGAGAACTCTCGCTGGTTGCAATCAGCTTAACTGAATGACACGCCAATAATATTGCTAGCGTTAAGTTAAATACAGAAAAGCCGATGATTATACGATTACGTTGGAAACAAAAGGAGGCCAGAATTTGAGAGAGAAAAAATTTAAACAAATGCACGGTTTACGCGATCATACTCAGACATATTCGTCTTATCAACTGTGTTAAAGAACTATTCTGTAAACCAAGGGACTGTTTAAAGTATGCCCAATATCGATTTATTATATACCTCCGTATTACTCTAAAATAAAGCTTTCAGGCTTCGTAATCAACGAAAAGTAAATTAATTAAAATGCTGCGTTGCTTCCATCGGTATGATTGCAATAAACTCAACTTACAGATTCGGTCTATTTGGGCATTATGTGAACTCTATCAGCGCGCCAATGTAGATTATTCAATGTTGACTGAAAAAGAAAAATAATTAATGGGAAGAATTACATCCGCAATTTCATATGTTAGTTTCTATAGGTAACTTTTCTCTCCTCTTTTGAAGTAATTAACATGCACCATGTCTTCATGTGTTTGCAATATGATTTATGCTTATTTCATGGATATGCAATGCACCTGAAAGGCACGTTCCCTGAAGGACGCATTCAAACCTTAATAAGGTTTAACTCAGAATGTTTGTTTATAACATCACGCAAGAGCTTCCAATAAACCTACTCCAATATATTGTAAAGGAATATTAAAACAATGCAGCGATTTTTTTATTATTATTGATTAATTATTGATCCGGATCACCACCAAAAATTAATCACTTCTAAGTTAACCCATTTCCTACCAACCCTGAAAATTTCATCAAAATCGGTCCATAACTTTTTGAGTTATGTTGATGACAAACAAACAAACAGACAGACAGGGGTGAAAACATAACCTCCTTGGCGGAGGTAATTAACATGCGTCTAAGATATTCCACCCAAATAACTTGAAGACAAACATTTCGTAAATGGCTGAAATAGACCCAATATTAAAGACCATGGCCTTTGTTCTTCGTTTAAACTGGTAATCCCTTCGCTATAAAGAGAACAGTTTGGGACCAGTTGGTTGCAGGGGCGGATCCAAAGCTATTTACTGACTGTCTTCCAAATGATCTTTGTGTCTTCCAACAGAAAAAATTAGATACCCGTCAATGTAAACTTGAAAATCTGACCGTCTTCTGGAAGACCCAGAAGACGGCCTAAATCCGCCCCTGGGTTGTGTCTGTTGTTTGATTTTTTTTCCAGTGCGCACTAGAATAATATATTGCGTACAATGTAACATTAAATGTGTTGAATGCATTTTCGAATTTTAAAAAAGGGGCGTGGGTAAAGATTGGGGTGCTTAATATGTGTAGATGAAGTATAGGTTAAAATCATGAAGAAGTATCCTAAGAAGCAACTGTACTCTATACGGAGCGTAATATGGGCTGCGTAGCTATGAAATATTGATGGCTTATTAGTGTCCGTACTTTATTGATGTTCGTTTAATTCCTCCTTTCAACACATTTCATTATGAATTTTTATTAAGTTTGCTTTTACAAATATGCCCGCGTTTATGGGTTGGGAACGCGCGGTGCGTTGTTCTCGAGTAAAATGAATAAGTTATCAAAGCCACAAAATACATTTACTTATTATAAAGAATAAACAAACATTCATCCCTTGAACCGGGTAACCAAAGATGTGTAAAATACGTGGCGGATATATCACACCGGCTGTTTACTTATGAGCTTTCCTTAGTAATATTTGCTTGATTTTTGCCATGCATTTGAAACATAAATTTCACAATCAAAGTGTGTAGAGTGTATAGTCATCTCCAGACCGTTGTAAAACTTTAGATTTAAGTTATTTTAACTTTTGAATCTTAATAGTTAGATAGGTAGGTAATTAACTTATTACATAATTTTATAAAAACAAAAATGCGTCTTATTTATTTGGTGTGTTGTTGAGAATGAAGAAATATTAAATTAAATCTGCCTAGATGTTAAATTTATCTGTTTATATATTTATTAATTCATTCATTCATTGCGGAACTAGACTAAGATTTACATAAGCTTTAACGTTACAAAGAAAAAAGGTAGGCCTATACAATCCGTAAAAAATACCAAGGTCACATTTTCATGTCCACACATCATGCAGAGTTACTTATCTTTTTTAACTGAGACGAAAAAAAACCCTAATAAAATCCTCAAATAAACTCTGAAATGTACAGGAAGACATGGCGGTCTTAGGGACTGGCCAGTCATTTTAGAAATTAACTTATCAGGGATGGGCAGAGCAATGCTTCTTGAGAAGGAAATATTTTTTTCCCCAAGGTTTAACTAGTTGCTCTCGTACAGCAACAGTAATGTGGAGGCGGGGAGACAATCAGCGGATTTTTTATTTTAACAACGTTTATTCGAAAGAAATGGAGGCAAAGCGCTGGAAGCATTAAATGCTCTCCACAAAATTAAATAAGTTAATAAATAAAACAAATGGATACGTATATACAACAGAATAAATGTATAACTTCAAATATATCAGAGGATTAGTCGGCTCTTCTTTTATGAAGGGTCCGCCATATTTGATCCGTGGATCAGAAGATCCTTGGATCTTCTATTATGAATGCGCTGCAATAGTTGTTCGAGATGCGCACCCACGTTAAATTTGCACTTTTCCACCCTTCATTCTTGTTACCAATTCCTAATTTTTTTCTGTATACAGCTTGGACCCATCATAAGACATGTATGATGGGGTCAAAAGTTTGCATAAAATACTAAAATTTGGTTCGAGTAAACATGTAAGTCTTGTGTCAAGAAATCCTCAAATACGTAAGAAAATTGAAGTGCATAAACCACTGAAACCGCAGTTGAGATTGTTGATTATGTTATATAGTCAGTTCATAGGACTTAAAGTATTGCAAGTAATTATGGTTATTTCGAATAATGATATATAATATACCTTGTGTACTATCATGATAATTAATCCGACAAATTTCCTTATTAACTGACTAATTAACTTGACATGGCGTCAGTTTTAAATGGATAGATCCGCCCCCGACAATGTCTATTGGAAAACATTTCTCAGTTGGTTCCAAAGTGCTAGTAAGCTCGGTTTTTTCGACAAATACGTTGAATACTTTCGTTTGATATTATGACAGCCATTTCTGATGTATCACTTTACAATAAGACTATCGTAAATGTCGAGAGGCGTGAACGTGTCCGAGTGAATGATATATCATTCCATGTCTGTCTCAAACAGTACAAACATCACGGATAAAATTCAGAATACGTAATTAATATAATCACCATACCCATGCGCCTGGTGACATTCCAATAAAGTTTCCGGCCCTTGCTTGGGAAAAATATGTCACTGGTGAAATTTGAATCACAAACACCGGCAAAAAGTTATAAAGCCACACACAAATGGCAAAGTGCACTTATTTTCTGTGATTGGTGCCTGACGTCTGTGTGGTAATTAGGGGGGGAACATGCGGTTTCCTATCTATACATTACTGTTTATTGTATATACAACATCGGCAGAGCACAACAAAAGAAGTGTATTTAATTGTATAGAAACGCCGTGTCAAAATGGGGGAATCTGTCGAGGAAATGACAACGGTTTCTATTGTGATTGTCCGATGGGATTCCGCGGTTCGCTGTGCGAAAAAGGTATGTGCATTTTTCTTGTGTGTGCAAATTACAAGTTATTCCTCCCCTGAGCATCAGCATGAGCAGTGTTTGCTAATTCAAAATGAAGGGATAAAAGATTTTAACAGGCTGGAAGTTAATAGTATTTATTATTAAATGTTTTAACATTTAAAAAAGCTAATGATGTTGTTTTATGTAAGATTGCGTTCGGTGCAGCTCGGCATCGATATTACACCAGAAGTTAATTGGGAGACTTTAATACTGCAGAATAGGAGATGGTTAAGCATAAGCAAGGTTTTTAAATTTTTAATTTAATTTTTTTCTTTGCACAAACGAAATACTTATGCTAACAGTGCAGCTGCGTGAAGTCAAATAAAGAAGCAAATCGAACAGCGTTTTCCAGTCAAATCAAGGTTGATTGAAATTGGATTTTACACCCCCTCCCCACGCCGATGTTTTGAATATCATGCCCACCCCCATGTGTATGCTAAAACGCTATTACCACCTTTTATAATGGGAATTCTAAAAATAATTGATTTTTTCCAGTTAAGACAATAAAAGGGCTGTTTAATTTAATTGTTATTGAGCTCGATCATATAGCGTGTTTAGTATGTTAACGTAGGCCTATACATATTATTGTTGTTATCTCAAGAAAGAAACGCATGATTTAACAATCTAGTTAAATTACATACATGACACCTTTTTACGTAGTGGCCGTGCTCTGATCTCTTTGGTCACTGGTCACTACTGGTACTTGGGAATTCGACAGGTGTCTTAAACCAAGATCCCTCAAAGTCGGAAAGGCGGGGGGGGGGGGGTCATTTCTGATTTTATCAATGCTAACGGGGCTGTTTATCTCGCACAGGTGGGGACGGTGTGAAAAATAAACTCCTTCGGTCACATTGTGCTTAAAAGAATTGACCTAACGCTTGACTTGTGTTTTGTATCCTTCAACTCTGGAACCGGTAAGTCATGCCATTTACAACATGTGCTTTGGGCTAAATGATGGAAGACAGCTGTCAGATTTTTAACAAATCTAAATTATTGCAACCAATATCTAGGAGGTGATTTCATTTCAAAATAATATAATCAAATTATTTGATCACTATGATTCAATCTCTTGGTCTGTTTACATCATTTACACTGTTCCACCTGTAGTTTTTAAACTGGGCATTTGATACGGTTTTATATTCTGATGAGCCGTAGGGCTTAAAGGTTTAATAAATTGAATTGAATTGATACGGTGTAACAACTCAAAGTTCTTCAGATTTGTAGGTAAAGCCACTCAATAGTGGACTAATTGATATATTGTTAATCAGCCTTCACATCTTTGCAATTCAACAAATTGAAAATTGGAAAAGTATCGGAGTAGAAAAAGATCGGAGGAATAATTATTTAATCATAGAAGAGAAGTCCTCAAAAACGATCCTTCTTCATTTACTGTCTTGACATTTAGTGCTGTAATACTGTATCACTAATGACTGCCGGTGCTTGTAAATATTCATGAAGAAAGTAGTGAAGTTTTCGTTTGCTCTGCGATATACCTTCCTTTCTGCATTAATGTGATTTTGGGATTTTTACATATAATCACAGGCCCGTAGCCAGCAATTTCAAAAGGGGGGTTCTTTTTCTGAAAAAGTGGACCTTTTCCCATAAAAACTTCATGTATCTAGATCAAATTTTACCCAGAGTGGACCTTTTCCCAGCAAAAGGGGCGGTTCTTTCGAACCCCCCCCTCCCCCGAACCCCCCCCCCCCCCCCCCCCTGGCTACGGGCCTGCATCATAATGTTGTCTACCTTACATTTAACATTTTTAATTAAACGAATAAATTAATGGATTATTTACGACAGATTGTTACATCACTACTGTAGATAAACAGATTAATGTGAAATTGTATTTTCAATCTTGTCAGTGACATATAGGAAGTTGGTTTACACCATATAGACAAGGATCTTTAATTGCTGTACAGGTTAGAGATAGCATCTAAACAACCCGAGTTAGCATCGACACTATATGTCCCGAGTAAACTTTCTTTTGATTTGATTGTCGCTGATTTGAAGGTACGCGTAAAATACAAAACGGTGTCAACTGTTTTTGATTAAGCCTTTTGACGTATTTCCATGGTTCCAGACATACACTGTATGACCCCCCCCCCCCCCGCCGCCCCCAGAGAACTGAAAACCAATGGAGAAAAGACAAATGTCAATCTTCATGCATTTCACACTGACAGAATCAGAACGACACTATTGATAGCGGTTCTGAACGAGAATGAAAAGAAACTACATGTAAGAGTGAATAAGAAAGTGTTTTGGGGTGTTTTATGTATAAATAGGGTAAGAAGTGACTAATTGGATGTTAAAACTTGGATCCTATATATTGGATCTTAGGTAAAAAGTATCGAAAGTCTGATACAAATTGATGCGCTTGAGCGATTAATTATAACTGCATGTTTTATTCATTCACAGAATCTTGCATTTGCCGTACATTTGGACAGCACTACTACCACACTTATGATGGAATACTTCTTGGCTTTAATGGCCAATGCCGCTACCAGCTTACTGGCAGCTGCGTGGACAGCAGTTTCTACGTTGATGTTGATGTAAAATTCGTTGAGGCAAAAATAAATGACAGAAAAATTCGGATTAGTAGGAACGAGGAACCCGTGGTTGTGTCGGTGAGTTTTTATCTATTCATCTATTCAAAACTAAGAGGCGGTATCAGCTAATTAATATATTTTAATTCAAACCATGAGAGGAAGATGAAGAGGAAGGATGGAGAACACAACGGACAACGTTCACAAAGATTTATCTGTAAGTTCTTTAATTGTTTGTTTATTGATCTAATGAATTATCGTATGAATGCTTGGTCTGACAGACGATTTTAAAATCCACACTTTAAAAGATGCACATCTCTCCAACGTTATCTTACGTAACATACTGTATATTTTTAGGTCGACGGAGAAACCATTCAAACGCTGCCTTATATAGGCAATTCTCTAACTGGAACCTTTAACATATTCCGGCTGGCGAATAAGGACATCATGGTTAAAGTCAACGGACGGACACTTCTCCTCACAGATGGACGCAACTACGTTCAGGTGGAACTGCCCGAGGAACACAAAAGCAGCGCATGTGGTATATGCGGTAACTGTAATGGTATCCTGGCTGATGATCTGGTAACAAGTAACGGCACAGACCTGGCCTCATTGACTGATATATCTGTCAGGAGTAATACTCTGGGAAATAGCTGGGTCGTAGGGGGACCTCCAGGGTAGGTTATCGGACTGTGTGGAAGCATACAATAGTATGCTGGTAGGCCTACTACTTACATATACAGACCCGCTGGCAATCAGTAGTATTTTTAAAGAAATAAACTACATTTCAATACATGTATCACACATACATGTACAATTTATTCTTAGTCATAAAATTGTAGGAGAACTATCACCCAGTTTTCCGCGGACATTTTTTCAGATGATCTCTCATACCTATGTTATCTTTCTATAGTAATTGTTTCTTGGCAAAAAAAAAGTATGTTGGAGTGCAATCAAGATATTTGTACACTTGGAAAATATTCTTATTTCACACTACAAAAACACGACACTTCTTTAGAAAAAGGATGTATTACAAGTACATGTCATCTTACATAACGAGTTGGCAACAGCATAACAAACAACAATTGCATTATCTACCTTTTAGTTGTTTAGCTGGCAGTGACATGGACCAATTCCAGTGCAGCGCACAGGAAACGACCATGGCTTCGTCGTCAACGTATTGTGCAAGAATAGACCACCTTATACCGTGCAGCCCAACAATACTGCTTAAATACAAAGCTGCCTGCATCCAGAAGGTCTGCCAGCTGCTTCCAGACTCGACCACAGCGAAAGAAGTCTTCTGCGAAATATTTGAAGCAACTCAAAGGGCGTGCGCTGCAGAAGATGTTCATTTCTACACATGGCGATCTCTGTCTTTATGCGGTATGTTTTAAGGTTTAACAAACAAAGCCTTTATTTTTTTAAATTATGTGTGTGTGTGTGTGTGTGTGTGTGTGTGTGTGTGTGTGATCTTAGTTCATGGTTCCTCACCTTCATGTGTTACGACCATATGAATATCATGCTCAATTACATAACCTGTACTTGCGACCTTTAATGGAAATTTGTAAATTCATAAATGAAACATGAAATACATTGAATGAAACGTAACCTCGAGATTCGTGATCACGATGCAGATTCACTATAGAGATATGGAATTCAGGACGTGGCACTCCTAACTGAGAGCGTGTGAACAAAATGGGTTAAATTTTTCACAAAGAGAGGGTTCCTTTTTAATGTTGCCACCGCCGCCAACGCTGCCATTAATCAAATGACATAAAACTGCATTCAAGTTTAAGAAAACTTCCATTTATTATCATATATTCAAATCACATATCAACCAACCTTTATATCGACATAACAGGTATCAATCCTTTAACTGCACACCCGTTAGGCTAACCTGATAGACATGTGCATAATTTTAGATTTTTACATCATAATATTTGGTTTACCAATGAGCCAAACAGGAAATACACAAAATATCATCATCTCTGATTTCAGCACTAGAGTGCCCGGCACAAACACCGTACGAGGAGATAATTGACAACTGTCACTCCTCGTGCCACAACCTCACGTCCAAGGACCCCAAGTGTCTTCTGCCTAAGACTGATGGCTGTGCCTGCAACGGCGGACTGTTGGAAAGTGACGGCGCGTGTGTCGCACCTATGGATTGCGGCTGCACTGATAACTGGGGTTATCATAAAGTGTGTATTTTCTTTAGAATTTTTTTTATTTTCATCCCTTAAAATAACAAAATAACTGCACAGATAAATGAATGCAATGAAAACAAAAAGTAAAACAAATAGCAGACAATAAACTATCTGTACAAGTGTTAAATCATTAAATTATTTTCTCATTGCAATAGAAAACTCCTATTTGTAAATGGGATAGTACCACCATTAGGTCAACTTGCCCCCAAAATTTAATCGTTTCTTACTTGGTCAATTCCTGACTGTTTCTGAAAATTTCAACAAAATCAGTCCACAATTTTTTCAAAATCTTCTCCTCCTCTCAAAGAGCCACAATAACTTTGTATTATACGATTGGATATTCTGTGAATTTGTTTTCTCGAGTTTAATAATTGCCTTTTTTTTCAGATTGGAGAATCCTGGTTGAGCAGTGACTGCACGATGGCTTATAAATGCGTTAGTGTAGCCAACATCACAGCTGTAGCGCGCCCCCCTTGTGAAGCCCCACAGCAGTGTGTAGCGGTGAATGGGGTGTTGGGATGTAATATACGTGAGTGTATATTTCTTCTTGTTTAGTATCTTCGAGGTTTTGTAGAAGGACACGTTACATAGTTTAAAAATGTGTACTAAGTGTAATCTGGCCCGCTATCTCCAATCCAATACTGCTGAAGTTCATACGCTTCAAGCAGGCATGTAGTGGAGTGCGGAAGCCGACCCAAGTCGGCTCTGAAACTTGAACAACGTGTAGTAGTGTAGCATGGCACGTTGCTGTTTCCTATCAGCCCCTTCTTGTACGTTGTCCAACGTGCTTGTTGATAGGTCCTTATTTTAGTATATTCTAATATTAGTCTGTGTGTTTTTTGTTTTTCTACAGCCCCTCCTGGCGAGCCAAGAGACAACTGTGTGGGCGCTCGCTGTGTGAATGGAGCTACATGTGTCAGCAGTCCAGGCCAGTTTACTTGTGTGTGTCCACAAGGTTACACCGGGAGGTTTTGTGGAGAGAGTGAGTCTTAGGTCTGATTAGATATGGCGATCCCTACTTTCAAGAATTGTACTTAAAATCAATAAGTAGTATATTTTATATGAGGTTTCGTTCACATGGACAAGTACAAATCAAAGTTCAGACTGGTAATTGATTGAGGGTCCCATGGGGGGGGGGGGTAGTGATAACAGTTCATTTGAAATAAAATCATCAAATCACAAATCATTGTAAATGGAACTTTTTCCATATCTTATTGAAAATGTTACTCTGGTGAGTTGAATATCACAAATCACTGAGTATAATGACTTCATTTCACAAAGTACAAGGAATATAAAGCTGCATTCACAAGTCACAGAAATGGGCTGCTTCATGAATGTCATGAATCATGCTAAATAATATGAACATATCATGCATATCAAGAAATAAACAGTAGCTTAAACAGGTTACACCATACCCACAGAACCCTCTTGATAAAAAAGGATTTTGTCAGCTTACCCTTTCATAGAGACTTCCACTTCCGTCTGATATTTCCAGAAATTGACTACTGCGCCCAGTTGTCTGTGGATTGTAAGAATGGTGGTACCTGCGTCTCCACCAGCCAGGATGCCTACTGCAAGTGTTTACCCGGTTACCTAGGAGACAGGTGTGAAGGTACGAACACGAAAAATATGTATTTTCAGTTCAATATAAACACATGACTTATACCCCCTGGGTTTCAGAGGATATCTGATCACTTGCCTCTCTACTATTATACATAATGCCTCTGTTATTTCCAGAAACCATTCATGGATCTGGTTGGCTTATATATCAAATTCTGCAGTACAGGAATGGTCTTAGGGTGCTGGAAATGGTAGAGGCACTATGAGAAGCATGCCGATATAAATTTTATTATACTTTCATTGCAGTACATATTGAATGTATTGAATGCGTACATAGAAATAATAAGAACACATACATATATTATAAATCTCGCATTTTGCTTGCTTGCAATATATGCCTGGTTATCTTTACGGATCTTTCAATCCGAATTCATGCCCATCTCCCTGGGAAGCTCAAGGTGATAGCCGAGTTACAAGGAATTAAATATGATGACCATTTTTGGGTCACGCTACACATTTAATGTCTTTGACAAGCTGAAACATGTCTGTACATGATCCAGTATAAACCCACCAACTGTTAGGTTGAAACTTTTTTCAAATGCAGTTATAAAAGTTACTTAACACTTTATTTGGTAGGAGCATTCCTGTCCCATATGCTTTTTAGTGCTATGAATTTCTTTTTGTTTTTAGTACTTTCAATTTTCTGTCATTCTTTTTAGTGGAAAAGCGTTGCTTGTGTGCTGTATACGGTGATCCAACAATTGTCACGTTTGACGGTGCCATCATCAACTTCCAAGGCACGTGCAAGTATAAGTATGTGCAATTGTGCGACGGTGCTCCTGGAAACCTTGAACCATTCAAAATAAATGTGAAACACACTGACTACCTGGGGATTTTCCCTAAGACGTCCTATCCAGAATTTGTTGAATTGGAATTTCGTGAGCACAACATCAGGTTGAGACGAGATGGAGGAGAAGTTCGAATTTATGTAAGTATCAGCACTGCATGTAAGCCTCTAATAAATTTCACATAAGTATGACAGCTAGGAATAAATCTGCAAATAGAGAATACTTAGACAGTTTTACTTCTTCTTAAATATGATAAATAGAATGAGTGACTGTATATACCTATAAGATTCGAGAGGGAGACATTTAAGTCACAGCATACCTAACATTCTTTAAGGTCCTATGGTAGATCTTTCAGCTTCAATCAAGGTCTTGTTTGTAAGAATGAAATATTGCATTGGGGTGAAAGGTCTAAAAATAGCTTTCCTTACTTTTTTCTCCATTGGTAAACCTCAATTGGTCCCAAACCACCCATACCAGCATTCTGGGGAAAAAATATGTTCACAAATTATCACTGGAGACAACTTTGTTTTTTAGAATAAAGGATGTTACAATTTTATAAACTTAATTTATTCTACTTGCAGGTTGACTTTGAATTTAGAGAGAGTGCTCCAGTAATTGTCAACAATGCCATAGTGATAGAAAGAATGCCGGATGGCACTACTCGTGCAAAAACTACAACCGGAATCTCTATATCGTATGATGGGCATTCGAGAGCATTAATTGAAGTTCCAACTGCATACAAAGGGAGTCTCTGCGGACTATGTGGAGACTGCGATGGCATTGACTACAACGACTACAAACCTCAGTACAGCAATTTTGTCATTACCGGGGATGACCGAGATATCAGGATTGGGAATAGCTATTACATCAGAGACGAAGAGTTTCTCACGTTAGTACTGTATATTAATATTAGTATTTGAATTTTTAATTTAGGGAGCAGATGGGATCACACTATGAACAGTAAGTTGTCAAGAATAGATATTTTACTTCCAGTTTACACTTCCAGTTCCAGTTTACACTTGCATCATACAATTAATTTTTTAATGTAATACCAACTGTTGACTTGAAGTTTGTGTCTTTAGTTCAAACAAAATTGATAAGTTGGTTAATGGGTGGTGATTCTCTATAAACAGAGATAGTAGATACAATTTGTATATGTCTTTCAAACTATGATATTTAAAGAACATAGCATCTAAAATTTTTGGTCAGGTGGTGTTTTCCTCCTCCTCTTCTTCTTATTATTAAGGGGTGTGGGTATATCAAATTTACACTGTGGTCAATTTTAAAGCATAAAAACCACAGCATTATGAACTTTTGTGGGTGCAGTTGCAATTATTTTCCACTTACCAAACCATGCATGCATTTTTTCTATGTGAAAAAAGTGAAAAAAAATGGATTTCCTTAAAATAAAGGTTGATAATTCTCGTAAACCAACTTCTCAAATTTGTCTGTCTCTAAGCGAACAGTTTTCAATTCAGGTGTGTGGCTGGTAGCACTAACGATACATCATATTGTCCAGAATCAGTGCAGCCTGTCGTAGAGGCCAATGACATGTGCGGAGCAATTTTGACATTCCCGGGACAGTTTGCAGCATGTGTGGATAAATTGAGCAGTCAGCTGATTCTTGATCTCCATAAAGCATGTGTCAGAGATGCTTGCAAGTTGTTTGAAAATGCAAATGAGGAAGCAGCTAAGAAAGCTAGGTGCGTCATGATGGACCTTTTGGCCAAGGAGTGTGGCGTTCATGGTGTTCCCGTTGTTGGCTGGAGGCAAGAAACTGGATGTGGTAGGTTGATGTATTTCGGATTTATTTTAATATAAATAAATTGTCAGGTTTTGGATACTGGCCACACTAGTTTAGTTTAGCACAGAAGTTGCAAAGAATAAGAGTAACATTAAAATCTCACCTTACCTGTTGATCAGATGGCCTGGAAATTCCCTATGCCTAAGGATATTTCTTAAGTCTTCTTAAAAGGATGCAGTAGCCACTAGCTCATCAGTCTCTCAGTCAAGCAAAGTGTAATGAAACCCAATAAAGCACTGAAATTAATTTCACTGAATTGCATTGTATTTTCAACATACATCTTCATAGCAGAAGAAATCATTCTAGATCTGTAAGACTGCTTTCCCATAACCTTATTGTACTGGCAGGATCGACCTATTTCAGCGGGAATTCTTGCTAAGGCACAGCCAGTGTAATCAGCTTAATTGTCTGACACGCCCCTTCACAAAGCAACAAGAACAACATCATGGACCACAAAGTTTTCCCAACTTTACCCAAGTACTTGAAGTTATGAGGGGGAGTGATAGATAATTAAGCTGCTTAAACTGAATGCAATTTAGTGAGAATCCCTGAGGAGTTAGATCTATCCAGCTAGTCTAATAGGGTTATGGGAACGGTCCCTTAGTGTAGCCATACATGCCTAAACCCATGCATTTCCCAATATGTGCTGGAGTCAAAAAACTTTCATATTTTGCACACCAGATATGGATTGTCCGCCTGGAACAACATATAAATCAGAAGGTACAGCTTGTCCAAATACGTGTGCGGACCTGGATGCGGAGGACAATTGCAGCGAACCACCTGTAGAGGGTTGTTATTGCCCAGCGGGACAGATACTAAGTGATACTCAGTGTATTCTGGATACAAATGAGTGTGGGTGCACTGATTTGAAAAATGGTGGAAGTTATTATTTTGTGAGTAATGGTCATTTTCTATATTGAAAAATCATTCAGATGAGGTTTTTTTTCTCTGACTTTGTACATTTGTATTGATAAAATGCAAAATAGCCTTCTGGGCTAAAATGTTTACTGAATACAACAATCAAAAATACATTATGCCTAGCTTTTTTTTAACTGAGAAAATTACGGGAAAAATATGCATTGGCTTCAGTTCTTCATCACAAAGTTACTACTCTCAGGGTTGGTGGAAATTACAGCTGCATCAGTTGTTGTGCGGTGTCCAATAATAGCAAGTGGTAAATTACAGGTTTAGAAGAACAACCTTCAACATTGCTAGAAATACAACAACATTGCTAAAAATACACAATACACCACAAATACCACCACCAATATACTGAACTGATGGATTTATTTTAGATCAGTATACACATTAAGCTTTTAATTATAACCTAACAAAGTGTTTTATATCTTCTTTGAATTCATGTTTTATAGATAGGCCAGACATGGAGAAACATTGACTGTACAGAGAGTGGCAAATGCTTCGATCATCGCAGTTATAATATTCCATGGTTCTTTCCGGGCTTCATCTCACTGCAACCTCTGACGTGCGATCCAAACGCCAGATGTGAAGTGGTTAATGAGGTCAGGCTTTGCGCCTGCCAATCTGGATACAAGGGAGATGGACAGACATGTACCAGTAGGTTTAATGACCATTGATGCACAGTGTGGAATTGTTGGTCACTTTGTGCTATATTTATCTGTTTGCAAGCTGTTACAGTGTGTAATGAGTTAAGGATATTGAAAAAATACTTACTGGATAGAGAGCTGAAATAGGCTTAAAGGTACACTATCTACTTAAAAATTTCCCAAAGTCAATTTTTCTTGTCTACATATCCTGCAAAGCTACTAATCTTTCCCATTTCTGGCATAAAATTTGCACACTAAGCCAACCATATGACAATGTACAGTTTCAAATGGCATTATTAACTTTAGAATTAAAGAGTATTATGGTTTATCCCTGGGCATGGCGACTTATTTGGGTCATTTAAGAAACTTGTAAAAGTGGTTGGTGTTATAAGGAATCCACGTTTGCTTCATATGTAAACTTTCAAATCATAAAAGCCCTAATTTAAAAATAAAAGCACCTTAAGTCAGATATCCTGAAATACAGAGGAAGGCATGATGTTCTAACTGACTGGCCAGTCATTAAGCTTATAATTTAATATTGAATTAAACATGCAATAAAACATCAATAAATCATCAAATCTGGTCAAACAATGATTCATGAGTAGGAGAAAATTGTTTTTTATTCCCAAAATTAATTTTAGTGGTCATAGAGTACCTTTAAGAAAAATTTTTATTTTACAGTGGGAATTTAACAAAAGAATACAGTAAGGCACCTGTGCCAAAATTTATGTTAATATTAACTGGAATATCTAGGGTGAGAAAGTTAAAGATGTTTAGATAAAGGGACCTACAACCTTCTTACTACATGTACCAAGGCAATTGGATTGCCTAGCCTAATTTGCTTTTGGTTCATTTTCAGTTGCCGATATTTGCCTGGTGAAAGATCCAACATACAATGAGATCCCAAGAAACCTCTGTGCCAATGGTGTTTGTATCACATTTGGAGAGACATGGAAGTGCAAATGTTTTCTGGGGTGGAATGGAACACTGTGTGATGAAAGTAGGATGAATCATGACATTTCCATTGACATTATTTAGGCCATTTACTTCAAACACTCTCACCGCCCTTGTGGAGTCTTCTTTAACAGTGCACTGACATTTAATTGTCATCTGACACACTAAGCTCCGTAAGAGAATCATCTCTAATATTGCACTGACATTTAAATGTGTGATCATCTAAATTTGCATCTGACACACTAAGCTCCGCAAGAGAATCATCTCTAATATTGCCCTGACATTTAAATGTGTGATCATCTAAATTTGCATCCAAAAATATGTGCTAAGAATAATCCACGATCTTATAAAACTTCCTACATATCAATAATTTGAGCCTTTTTTTCAGACATTGATGAGTGCGCTGTTAATCCCTGTCAGAATGGTGGCAACTGTACAGACTTGGTGGCCACATACAGATGTTCCTGTCCAGGAGGATTTACTGGGAAAGACTGTGAAACAAGTAAGACCCCATTTCCAGAGATTAGATCGATCTACTTTAGGGGTTCACGCTAAATAGCTGTCAGCTGAGCGGGCACAAAAGTTAATTACCCCCTTACAGCTTGTAGTAGGCGGGACGGACATTTAAGCCGGATTTTCTGACAGTAATCTAGTGAGACTCCCCGCGGGGATAGATCGATCTAAAAACTCTGGGAATACAGCCTAAGTGACTGTTATCTGTTAAAACACAGCTGTGTAATCGAAAAGTTTTCATTTATGATAGATCCAGATATTTAAAATACCTGTTGACTGTTTCGTCTGTTCACTCTGTCAACAGGTAAATCAAATATTTTTTATCTGGATTTATCATAAATGAAAACTTTCAGACTATTAAAACTGAGATCCAATAAAGCTATTTTCACACACAGTTACCTAGTTTGTTCTTTTTATGCTGTTGTTTTTATATGTAAATTTATGTGTTTCTGCTTGTTTTGTATTATATTTGTAATAGAAAAAAAGAGGTTAGTGATATGAAAATGAGCAGTGCGATAGCTTATAAACTTGAGAAGCAGATGTGAGACACATGAAATGACAGAATGGAGAAACATTCACAGCACCACTGCCTGGGATTTTCAGTCTACTTTTTAACTGAAATGTGTTTATATAAAACTATATCCATTTCTGTAATAGATATTAATGATTGTGAACCAAATCCTTGTGCCAACGGTGGGACCTGCACGGATCATATCATGAACTACACATGCTCATGTGCGACTGGGTATAGTGGGAAAAACTGTGAAATAGGTACGTGCTTTTTTACTTTGAAAAAAATCTATATTTATGCAAATTCTCATTGGTTAAAATGCATAGAACAATATACATGTGGATGACAAGTTAATAGCCAGGTCAAGTGATCTAGTTCCTTCTTTGTTGACTTTTTGCACCAAATTTTGTGCTTTTTCACATTAAATAATTCTTACATGTATTGCAATTCTTGAAACAAGTAAGCAGCTATAGAATTGCCCTGCATGGTACCCTAATACTTCCTAGTTAGTTGTTCTTAAAATATCCAAGAAAGACTGGTCATGATATTAACTTTTGGAGATGTTTTTACACAAACTATGAATAATTTATTCATTTTTCACATTTTGAACAATGAAAGCTCCAGGGGCTGGCACTGTGAGTCATCTTTCCTCATGTGGCCCCCCCCCCCCCCCCCCCCCATAACAAAAGCCAAACATTTTTCCTATCACTGCCATGCATTTCATCAGTTATTTTCTGTTTGACTGGTTTATATATATTTTGTAGACATAGATGATTGCGCTGAAAATCCCTGTAAAAATGGTGGCACTTGCACAGACTTGGTGGCAGCCTATGAATGTTCTTGTCCAGGAGGTTTTACTGGGAAAGACTGCGAAACCAGTAAGTGACTGTTATTGGCTTAAGCCATTGACACATGCTCATGTACAAACACACATGTTGAAACAAGCTTAGTGAAACAAGAGGCTTTAAATTACTTTTTTTCTTATATGTGGATTACTACGAGTAATGGTATTTATGTTAATTTCAGACATTGATGACTGTGCTGAGAAGCCCTGTAAAAATGATGCTACATGTACTGACTTGGTGGCCTCATATAGATGCATATGTCTGCCAGGTTTTACTGGGAAAGACTGTGAAACGAGTAAGTAGCAAAAATATACTTTTTTGAAAAATGGGTTTATGGCTATCTATGAGAAAATTACTTTAATTTGAAATCATTAAAACCACAAGGCTAGTTTTGTGTCTGTAATATGTTTATGTGATTTTTGTTTTCAGGTATAGATGACTGTGATCCAGATCCATGTGTCAATGGTGGAAACTGTACTGATCTGGTTCTGGATTACACATGCACTTGTCCAGCAGGGTATACTGGGAAAAACTGTGAAACTGGTAAGTATTATAAAGTATACATGTCTTGATATTTCATCACTAGATCTTAAAGGTGGGCACTCCAACAAAGTATTCAAAATGGATTACTTTTGATGTACAGAGATTTCCAAGCAATACCTTTGGGAGTATACCTTAGAAAATATGTATTTATATATGGATTACTACGAAGGATGTTTCATGGTATTTATGTTAATTTCAGACATTGATGACTGTGCTGAGAAGCCCTGTAAAAATGATGCTACATGTATTGACTTGGTGGCCTCATATAGATGCATATGTCTGCCAGGTTTTACTGGGAAAGACTGTGAAACGAGTAAGTAGCAAATATATACTTTTTTTAAATGGGATTATGGCTATCTATGAAAAAATTACTTTAATTTGAAATCATTAATTTTATTAAAACCACAAGGCTAGTTTTGTGTCTGTAATATGTTTATGTGATTTTTTTTCAGATATAGATGACTGCGATTCAGATCCATGTGTCAATGATGGAAACTGTACTGATCTGGTTCTGGATTACACATGCACTTGTCCAGCAGGGTATACTGGGAAAAACTGTGAAACTGGTAAGTATTATAAAGTATACAATATGTCTTGATATTTCATCACTAGATCTTAAAGGTGTGCACACCAACTAAGTATTCAAAATAGATTACTTTTGGTGTACAGAGATTTACAAGCAATAAAACCTTTGAGAGTATACCTTAGAAAATAAGTAATTATATGTGGATTACTACGAGTAATGGTATTAATGTTAATTTCAGACATTGATGACTGTGCTGAGAAGCCCTGTAAAAATGATGCTACATGTACTGACTTGGTGGCCTCATATAGATGCATATGTCTGCCTGGTTTTACTGGGAAAGACTGTGAAACGAGTAAGTAGCAAATATATACTTTTTTAAAATGGGATTATGGGTGTCTATGAGAAAATTACTTTAATTTGAAATCATCAATTTTGTTAAAACCACAAGGCTAGTTTTGTGTTCGTAATATGTTTATGTGATTTTTGTTTCAGATATAGACGACTGCGATCCAGATCCATGTGTCAATGATGGAAACTGTACTGATCTGGTTCTGGATTACACATGCACTTGTCCAGCAGGGTATACTGGGAAAAACTGTGAAACTGGTAAGTATTATAAAGTATACATGTCTTGATATTTCATCACTTGATCTTCAAGGTGGGCACACCAAACAAGTATTCAAAATAGATTACTTTTGGTGTACAGAGATTTATAAGCAATAAAACTTTTGAGGGTATACCTTAGAAAATAAGTAATTATATGTGGATTACTATAAACGATGTTTCATGGTATTTATGTTAATTTCAGACATTGATGACTGTGCTGAGAAGCCCTGTAAAAATGATGCTACATGCATTGACTTGGTGGCCTCATATAGATGCATATGTCTGCCAGGCTTTACTGGGAAAGACTGTGAAACGAGTAAGTAGCAAATAAATACTTTTTTTAAAAAAATGGGTTCATGGCTATCTATGAGAAAATTACTATAATTTGAAATCATTAATTTTGTTAAAACCACAAGGCTAGTTTTGTGTTCGTAATATGTTTATGTGATTTTTGTTTCAGATATAGACGACTGCGATCCAGATCCATGTGTCAATGATGGAAACTGTACTGATCTGGTTCTGGATTACACATGCACTTGTCCAGCAGGGTATACTGGGAAAAACTGTGAAACTGGTATGTATTATAAAGTATACATGTCTTGATATTTCATCACTTGATCTTCAAGGTGGGCACACCAAACAAGTATTCAAAATAGATTACTTTTGGTGTACAGAGATTTATAAGCAATAAAACTTTTGAGGGTATACCTTAGAAAATAAGTAATTATATGTGGATTACTATAAACGATGTTTCATGGTATTTATGTTAATTTCAGACATTGATGACTGTGCTGAGAAGCCCTGTAAAAATGATGCTACATGCATTGACTTGGTGGCCTCATATAGATGCATATGTCTGCCAGGCTTTACTGGGAAAGACTGTGAAACGAGTAAGTAGCAAATAAATACTTTTTTTAAAAAAATGGGTTCATGGCTATCTATGAGAAAATTACTATAATTTGAAATCATTAATTTTGTTAAAACCACAAGGCTAGTTTTGTGTTCGTAATATGTTTATGTGATTTTTGTTTCAGATATAGACGACTGCGATCCAGATCCATGTGTCAATGATGGAAACTGTACTGATCTGGTTCTGGATTACACATGCACTTGTCCAGCAGGGTATACTGGGAAAAACTGTGAAACTGGTATGTATTATAAAGTATACATGTCTTGATATTTCATCACTTGATCTTCAAGGTGGGCACACCAAACAAGTATTCAAAATAGATTACTTTTGGTGTACAGAGATTTATAAGCAATAAAACTTTTGAGGGTATACCTTAGAAAATAAGTAATTATATGTGGATTACTATAAACGATGTTTCATGGTATTTATGTTAATTTCAGACATTGATGACTGTGCTGAGAAGCCCTGTAAAAATGATGCTACATGCATTGACTTGGTGGCCTCATATAGATGCATATGTCTGCCAGGCTTTACTGGGAAAGACTGTGAAACGAGTAAGTAGCAAATAAATACTTTTTTTAAAAAAATGGGTTCATGGCTATCTATGAGAAAATTACTATAATTTGAAATCATTAATTTTGTTAAAACCACAAGGCTAGTTTTGTGTTCGTAATATGTTTATGTGATTTTTGTTTCAGATATAGACGACTGCGATCCAGATCCATGTGTCAATGATGGAAACTGTACTGATCTGGTTCTGGATTACACATGCACTTGTCCAGCAGGGTATACTGGGAAAAACTGTGAAACTGGTATGTATTATAAAGTATACATGTCTTGATATTTCATCACTAGATCTTCAAGGTGGGCACACCAAACAAGTATTCAAAATAGATTACTTTTGGTGTACAGAGATTTATAAGCAATAAAACTTTTGAGGGTATACCTTAGAAAATAAGTAATTATATGTGGATTACTATAAACGATGTTTCATGGTATTTATGTTAATTTCAGACATTGATGACTGTGCTGAGAAGCCCTGTAAAAATGATGCTACATGCATTGACTTGGTGGCCTCATATAGATGCATATGTCTGCCAGGCTTTACTGGGAAAGACTGTGAAACGAGTAAGTAGCAAATAAATACTTTTTTTAAAAAAATGGGTTCATGGCTATCTATGAGAAAATTACTATAATTTGAAATCATTAATTTTGTTAAAACCACAAGGCTAGTTTTGTGTTCGTAATATGTTTATGTGATTTTTGTTTCAGATATAGACGACTGCGATCCAGATCCATGTGTCAATGATGGAAACTGTACTGATCTGGTTCTGGATTACACATGCACTTGTCCAGCAGGGTATACTGGGAAAAACTGTGAAACTGGTATGTATTATAAAGTATACATGTCTTGATATTTCATCACTTGATCTTCAAGGTGGGCACACCAAACAAGTATTCAAAATAGATTACTTTTGGTGTACAGAGATTTATAAGCAATAAAACTTTTGAGGGTATACCTTAGAAAATAAGTAATTATATGTGGATTACTACAAACGATGTTTCATGGTATTTATGTTAATTTCAGACATTGATGACTGTGCTGAGAAGCCCTGTAAAAATGATGCTACATGCATTGACTTGGTGGCCTCATATAGATGCATATGTCTGCCAGGCTTTACTGGGAAAGACTGTGAAACAAGTAAGTAGCAAATATATACTTTTTTTAAAAAAATGGGTTCATGGCTATCTATGAGAAAATTACTTTAATTTGAAATCATCAATTTTGTTAAAACCACAAGGCTAGTTTTGTGTTCGTAATATGTTTATGTGATTTTTGTTTCAGATATAGACGACTGCGATCCAGATCCATGTGTCAATGATGGAAACTGTACTGATCTGGTTCTGGATTACACATGCACTTGTCCAGCAGGGTATACTGGGAAAAACTGTGAAACTGGTATGTATTATAAAGTATACATGTCTTGATATTTCATCACTAGATCTTAAAGGTGGGCACACCAACTAAGTATTCAAAATGGATTACTTTTGATGTACAGAGATTTACAAGCAATAAAACTTTTGAGGGTATACCTTAGAAAATAAGTAATTATATGTGGATTACTACGAAGGATGTTTCATGGTATTTATGTTAATTTCAGACATTGATGACTGTGCTGAGAAGCCCTGTAAAAATGATGGTACATGCACTGACTTGGTGGCCTCATATAGATGCATATGTCTGCCAGGTTTTACTGGGAAAGACTGTGAAATGAGTAAGTAGCAAATATATACTTTTTTAAATGGTATCATGGCTATCTATGAGAAAATAACTTTAATTTGAAATCATTAATTTTGTTAAAACCACAAGGCTAGTTTTGTGTCTGTAATATGTTTATGTGATTTTTGTTTTCAGATATAGATGACTGCGATCCAGATCCATGTGTCAATGATGGAAACTGTACTGATCTGATTCTGGATTACACATGCACTTGTCCAGCAGGGTATACTGGGAAAAACTGTGAAACTGGTAAGTATTACAAAGTATACGTGTCTTGATATTTCATCACTTGATCTTCAAGGTGGGCACACCCACTAAGTATTCAAAATAGATTACTTTTGGTGTACAGAGATTAACAAGCCATAAAACCTTTGAGAGTATACCTTAGAAAATAAGTAATTATATGTGGATTACTACGAGTAATGGTATTAATATTAATTTCAGACATTGATGACTGTGCTGAGAAGCCCTGTAAAAATGATGCTACATGTACTGACTTGGTGGCCTCATATAGATGCATATGTCTGCCAGGTTTTACTGGGAAAGACTGTGAAACGAGTAAGTAGCAAATATATACTTTTTTTAAAAAAATGGGTTCATGGCTATCTATGAGAAAATAACTTTAATTTGAAATCATTAATTTTGTTAAAACCACAAGGCTAGTTTTGTGTCTGTAATATGTTTATGTGATTTTTGTTTTCAGATATAGATGACTGCGATCCAGATCCATGTGTCAATGATGGAAACTGTACTGATCTGGTTCAGGATTACACATGCACTTGTCCAGCAGGGTATACTGGGAAAAACTGTGAAACTGGTAAGTATTATAAAGTATACATGTCTTGATATTTCATCACTAGATCTTAAAGGTGGGCACACCAACCAAGTATTCAAAATAGATTACTTTTTGTGTACAGAGATTTACAAGCAATAAAACCTTTGAGAGTATACCTTAGAAAATAATTAATTACATGTGGATTACTGCGAAGGATGTTACATGGTATTTATGTTAATTTCAGACATTGATGACTGTGCTGAGAAGCCTTGTAAAAATGATGCTACATGCATTGACTTGGTGGCCTCATATAGATGCATATGTCTGTCAGGTTTTACTGGGAAAGACTGTGAAACGAGTAAGTAGCAAAACATGCCTGTTTTGAAATGGGATCATGGCTCTTTTTGAGAAAATTACTTTAATTTGAAATCATATGTTAAATACCACAAGGCAAGTTTTTTGTCTGTAATGTTTTTATATGATTTTTGTTTTAGATATAGATGACTGCGATCCAGATCCATGTGTCAATGGTGGAAACTGTACTGATCTGGTTCAGGATTACACATGCACTTGTCCAGCAGGTTATACTGGGAAAAACTGTGAAATTGGTAAGAGTTATGAAGTATACATGTCTTGATATTTCATCACTTACTCTGAAAGGTGGGCAAACCAAATTAATATTCTAAATAGATTACTTTTGGTGTACAGAGATTTACAAGCAATTGAACCTATGAGAGTATACCTTAGAAAATAAGTAAATACATGTACATTACTACGAAGGATATTTCATGGTATTTATATTAATTTCAGACATTGATGACTGTGCTGAGAAGCCTTGTAAAAATGATGCTACATGCATTGACTTGGTGGCCTCATATAGATGCATATGTCTGCCAGGTTTTACCGGGAAAGACTGTGAAACGAGTAAGTAGCAAAATATGCCTGTTTTGAAATGGGATCATGGCTCTTTTTGAGAAAATTACTTTAATTTGAAATCATTTCTTAAAACCACAAGGCTAGTTTTTTGTCTGTAATGTGTTTATATGNTTGAACCATGAGTATATACCTTAGAAACATGAGTAGATGCATGTGCAATGCTACCACTTAGAATGCTTCATGGTATTTATGTTAATTTCAGACATTGATGACTGTGCTGAGAAGCCCTGTAAAAATGATGCTACATGCATTGACTCGGTTGCCTCATATAGATGCATATGTCTGCCAGGTTTTACTGGGAAAGACTGTGAAACGAGTAAGAAGCAAAATATACTCTTTTTAAAAAGGGATCATGGCTATCTGTGAGAAAATTACTTTAATTTGAAATCATTTGTTATAACCAGGATGTTAGTTTGTTTTCTCTGTAATTTGTTTATATTATTTTTGTTTTAGATATAGATGACTGCGATCCATATCCATGTGTCAATGGTGGAAACTGTACTGATCTGGTTCAGGATTACACATGCACTTGTCTGGCAGGGTATACTGGGAAGAACTGTGAAATTGGTAAGACAGTAGTTATGAATTCAAAATGATATATAAGTTATTGAACTTCTGTGTATTGATACAGTATCTTGAATGTTTCTTAATTGATATCAAAATAATTTTTTTTCAGACATTGATGACTGTGTAGACAACAACTGTCAAAATGATGCTGAATGTGTTGACTTGGTGGCTGGATATCAATGTGTATGCCTGCAAGGATTTACAGGGCAATATTGTGAAACAGGTAAGAGTTTAGAACCAACTTAATTACAGCCCACATTTTACAGGACAACATACTGTGCAAATACCCACAGTGTACACATTACATTACATAGCAAGGCAGAGAATAATACCATCTTTATTATCAGTACACTTGCTTAAGCTTGCAGTTTTGTCAACTACCAGTAGACTTTAATTGTGAACCCAGAAATAGATCTAAGAATTGATCTTTATTGATATGTAACAATTGTACATTTTTCTTTAGTTATGAATTTAAAATGATATATAAGTTACTGAATACTAATATGAGTACTGATAGTGTTATCACGATTATTATTATAACTTTCATATAATCATAATTAATTCATTTATTTACTATAATTTATAATGCATTATAATTATCATTACTTTTATATAGTCATAATTAATTCATTTATTTACAATTAATTATAATAACCCAGGTGAGCACATAATGCTGTTGCAACGTGCTGCCTGCTTTGAATTTATGTATTTTGTATATATCATTATTGTAGAAATAAATCTGTTTTAAAAAAAAATAAGTTACTGAACTTCTGTGTATTGATACAGTATCTTGAATGTTTCTTAATTGATATCAATATCATTTTTTCAGACATTGATGACTGTGTAGACAACAACTGTCAAAATGATGCTGAATGTGTTGACTTGGTGGCTGGATATAAATGTGTATGCTTGCAAGGTTTTACTGGACAATATTGTGAAACAGGTACGAGTTTAGAACCAACTAAATTACAACCTACATTTTGCACGATCACATTCTGCACAAATACCCAAAGTGTGCACATTATGTTTTATAACAAGGCAGAGAATAGTACCACTTTTATTATCAGTACACTTGTTAAAAGCTTGCACTGCTGTCAGCTACCAGTAGAATTAATTCTTACTCCTGGACAGTAATGGATCTGAGAAATTATCTTTATTAATGTACACATTGTAGATATTCTGTAGCTATGAATTGAAAATGATATATAAGTTACTGAACCTCATTGTATTATATTATTAAGCTTATCTTTAATATCTCTTAATTGATATCAATATCATTTTTTTAGATATTGATGACTGTGTAGACAACAACTGTCAAAATGATGCTGAATGTGTTGACTTGGTGGCTGGATATCAATGTGCATGCCTGCAAGGATTTACAGGGCAATTCTGTGAAACAGGTAAGAGTTTGTAACCAACTAAATAACAGCCCACATTTAACATGAATACATTCTGAACAAATACTCACATTACATTTCATAGCAAAACTGAAAATGACTCCATATATATAATTAGTACTCTGGCTTAAGAGACATTGATGCAGAATTAACATATACCTGCTACAGTTGTAATAAGACTAAATTAAAAGTCCAGTGAAAAATTGACTTTATTCATGTAAAAATTGTTTATATTTCTGTATAATTTTATGAATTCAAATGAAATATAAGCTACTGAACCTCCATGTATAAATACAGTACCCAGAGTGTTTCTTAATTGATATCAAAATCATTTTTTCAGACATTGATGACTGTGTAGACAACAACTGTCAAAATGATGCTGAATGTGTTGACTTGGTGGCTGGATACAAATGTGTGTGCCTGACAGGTTTTACAGGGCAATACTGTGAAACAGGTAAGAGTTTGTAATCAATTAAAATACAGCCCACGTCTTACAGGTTCACATTCAGTACAAATAGCCAAAGTGTGCACATAACATTACATGGCAAGACTGAGAATCATTCTGGCTCTATTCTCAGTATTCTGGCTTAAGGTTGCACATGAAAGATTGGTGTCCTCAACTCAAACAACAACAACACACACACACACTTGATAAAAGAGCTATAGATATTTTTATACTTGTGACAATCACAGACAAGCTCCTGAACTTACATCTAATGGTTACCTAAATTATTAGCTACCTGAATTGTTTCTTGGAATTATATTTCAGACTTTTTAAAATGAAACTCTGTAAAAATGATGCTACATGACTGTATTGACTTGGTGGCCTCATATAAATGCATATGCCTCCAAGTTTAAATGTGCTTGCTGGAAAAAAGAGTTTTGCCTCAGTATTTATGAAATTTTACAAGTCCGTGAACCTCCATCTGAGGGTTAATGCGTTGGACATTAATTCAGTTACCTAAAACATTTCTTTGTATCATTTTTCAGACATTGATGACTGTGCAGATAACAACTGTCAAAATGGTGCTGAATGTGTGGACTTGGTGGCTGGATATAAATGCATATGCTTGCCAGGTTTTACAGGGCAATACTGTGAAACTAGTAAGTGTTAGTAACAGACTATAAGACAATGTGTTTGCTTGTCCAGCATTGTATGTACACTCTTATTTTTTGTCATAATTGAAGCCATTAACTATTTGGTATATCAGCTAGTTTACATCTTCACTTCTGATCAGTATTTACCCTTATTAGCAGAATGAAAAGATTGCAGCAATATTGCAGCAAAAGTGGCAAACTTAAATTTGCAGCAACGCGTTTGTAGGAGTTTGCAAGAAAAATTTTATTGCTGCTAATTTGCAACCATATTGCAGCAATATTGCAGCAAACCTGCTGGTAATTTGCAGCAGAACTGATATTTTTCTAAGGGTAGTTATCATCATGAAAAGCCTGTCTCTGACAAATTTTGGCATCGTGCTTCAGAGACAGTCTTATTGTTTGGTATTTGAAAGCAGCTCCTGCTGTAAACGTGAATAGATGGTATTTATACACTAGCCATACTCATTTCTTTTGTAGATATAGACGACTGTGATCCATATCCCTGTGTCAATGGAGGAACCTGCACTGATCTCGTTATGGATTACTCGTGCTCTTGTGTAATTGGTTATACTGGCAAAAACTGTGAAACGGGTAAGATTTAGGACTTCAGGATAATTACTCCATTTTTTTTGGCCAGTCATTTAGAACCATATATTTTAAATGGAATCAAACATCAAATCCAAGTCCAGCAATGAGTGGAGTAATGATTCATGAGTGGGAGAAACTGTTTATTTTTCTCCAGGATAATTAATTTTGGTGGGTAAGAGTACCTTTAAAAGACGGTGCTTACAAATAAAGAAAAATTCTGAGACGTATGAAAATGTGAATGATAACATGTGTTTTGTATATGTTTTTTTCAGATGAGAATGATTGTGACTCCAGTCCATGTCAACATGGCGGCACATGTGTGGACCGGCTAGGGTTCTATTACTGTTTATGTCCACCAGGGTACTATGGAGAACATTGTCAGATAAGGCGTAGGTACCAATATAATAATTCTGCTCCAGGTCGCGCGCACACACACACACACACACACACACACACACACACACACACACACACACACACACAGTTACACTATCATGGTTTGTTTTCAATAATATAAGAGATTGACAGCATGACAAAAAGATTACTATTGTAAAAAAAAAACACAATTTATTTATCTTTAATACTAAAGTTTGTCAGTTAACTTTTAAAGGTAGTCAAAAGTTTTGCCCCTTACTTCCAAAATTATTCAACCCAATTCCATTTCTTGCATGAGTGTTGGGCATCTCTCTCCTTTTAGATGATTCACCTCAACTTTTAATTAATAGCAACTTTTAATTAATAGCACCCTGTCAGTGCCTCGCTGTCGGCTCTTCTCACACCACATACGATGGCCTGTTCATCTACTACCAGGGCATATGTAAGTATGTCCTGAGCCAGAAGTGTCCCGGTGCCGGAGGTGAACTACCAGATTACACTGTTTATATAAGAAAAACCTCCAGCGGAGTGCCTGGTGAATATGTGACCAGTGTCGAAATCCATGTGTATGGTTATGTGATAAGCCTGCTCTGTGGCAGTATTGCAATGGTGAGTGTGATGGCATTTGTTTACTTTTTGAATTAGTGCAAAAAAAAGATAAAAAAAACAATGTTTTTTATTTTGTAATTTATGTGACCATTTATGTGTTTTGTGCAGGACTTACAAGTAGTTGATATTTTACACTACACTTGCACTAAACCTTTGTATTCATCAGTCAATTTATGAAGCATGGTTTCGTATTACCAAATTTGTATTACTAGTAATCCATTCTTGATGTTACTGATGTGGTGTCATGATCTTATTATAAATCAAGAGTACATTTTTCTCATTTTCATTATTCTTGAATAGTGAATAATATAATGCTGTTTGGTTTTCTAATGAAGGTAAATGGCGCATTGGTAAACACCCTGCCAGCAGTTCTTGGTAATGGGGCCATTACTGTCGACTTTACTGCTACACTAAATTTGAGAGTCACAGTAAACTTTGGCATGAACAGTGAGCTGGAAGTCATATTTGACAGAATCAATGGTGTACAGGTTCAAGCACCCGACGCATATCGTGGCTCAATGTGTGGGCTTTGTGGTGACTGCAATGGGGTAGACTGGAATGATTTGAGACTGCAAAATGGGACTGATGTTTCACATTTGCCAACCAGTGAGGCCCATTCACTCATTGGCATCAGTTTTGAACGTAGAGCAGAGTGAGTATCTTGTTCTTTGACAACTGGAAATCAATGGATGTGAAATAAAAAGCGTGCAGTTGTTTTAAGTTTTACTCACAGATGTGAGGTTTTTTCTAGCTCACTTAGAATAATGAGGGTCTAAATTTGATCATTAATCTCAGAATGATTATTTTAAGGTTTTATTCAACCAAATCACTCTGTCACCTTTATTTGTCACATTTGATTATATATGTTGTGAACTATCTTAATTATACACTAAAATGTGAGGAGTGGTTGTTACACTAGGGTACAAAAAAATTACAAAATATGGGTACAAAATAGGGTACAAAATTTACATATAATTTCTTAACTTCTAGGTGCCTGGGGACGACATATGATGAGCCAGAACCTTGCTCGTCAGACAATATGCAAGTAGTTACGGGTCCAGAATATTGCGGCCTTCTCAAGGATGAAGCAAACATATTTAGCCAATGTCTTCAGAGCGGGTTTATGCCAACTGAAGCGGTAATGAACATATGGTCTGCTTGCACTATGGAGAGTTGTTATGCTCTCCCTAACACCACTCAAGCCAGGAAGGTGTCTTGCGACTTCTTGGACTATTTTGCACAAAGGTGTGAGCAGCTCGGTTTTTCAGTGACACCAAATGTGTGGTTAAATGTCACTCAGTGTGGTAAGAATTAATATTGTACACTTAAATGCATATCATATTTTCTAAATTTTACTTTTTCAACTGTATATAGCTTCAAGGTCTCACAAGACTAATTATTTCAGTGTTTACTCTCAAAAAAAGTTATCTAAATTTCTGCTTCATGTTATAATCTATTAGTTAATCAGTGCTTTGTGAACAAATGTTTACAAAATGCATGTTAACTTTGTGAATTCTAACATTATTGTAATAGCTAGGATATTATAGAATGGCATAGCATGTAACTCTGTTACTGTAATAGGTACCTGAATGAATTCAAACTTTCCTGACATATTACATGGTAATTGTGAAATTATCATAATGCAAATAATGATATTTTCTCATTGAATAACTAATATCACTTACTTTTCCCTTTTACATGAATATTTATTTACTCCAGTAATTTTTTGTCTCTACATCAATTAAACCATAGGTTCTGCACTTGTTCTGTGAGTTTGATGTTTTTATGTCCATAATAAAGTTTGCCTAATTATGTTTATTGAAGACTGCTTTGAAAATTTCCATATACCTTAATTTGAGATGACCTTTTTATTAAGGACCTTGAAGCATGGTAACCTAATGAGTTATTTCTGATTACTATGGGAACTTACACTAATGGGTTATTTTTGATTACTGTGGCAACATATACTGAAGTTTCTGGCATTTATCTCTGGAGATGTATCTCAGTTATTAATATTATTTTCCTCAGCAAAAGTCTGTGGCCCTTACATGACATACCAGGCCAGTGGTCCTGGTTGCAGAGACACTTGCGCACACCCCAACGCAACTTTGAACTGCGATGAGCCTCAGGAAGAGGGATGTTTCTGTGATGCTGGGATGGTGCTAAGTGGAAACATGTGCGTGCACAAAGAAGAGTGTGGATGTGTGGATGTACAGGGATCTTATCACGAGGTATATTTGTGTACCATTCTTGCTGGACTTTAAGGGGTGGCAAGAGAAAAGGGTTGTGAATTTTGGTTTGGGAAGCCTTCACATATCAGTGTATGAAACAATGAGATAGACTTAATTTGTTGAATTGCCTAAGTGCCCAGAATGTAAATTGTCTGATGTAGCCCAAAGTTTAGTGACTTTGCATAAAAACAAGTGTGATTTTGCAGGTTTTGGTTGAGAGTGGGTTTAAATTCATGACAAAAAGTCCAGATTAGTATAATCAGGAAAAAGGCCTGATTGGTGATTTCTGAAATAAATGTATGTGCAGTATCTTATAGAAATATAGGGAAAAGGATTGATTTAAATAATGTAACCCAAACTTTAAGTTTTTATGAAAAAAATATTTTCTTAATGCTAAATAATGTTCTTTTGACAGCTGAATACAACATGGTTGTCATTCGACTGTAGCATAAGTTATACATGTTCGAGGTTCGGCGCTGCTCCAGCTCAAATCGTGGCTATGGACTTTGGCTGCGGCCTCAATGCTCAGTGTGTGCTGAAGAATGGTATAAGAGGATGTCACTGTCTGCCAACTTATGTGGGCGATGGTCAAATATGCAATGGTATGTGATAAATTATAATCATAATTTGAATTAAAGGTGAAACGTTGTTGCGCATCAGTATCAAAAGTGTCTGTTTGAATGACATAAACAGTGTAGTACTACAGCTATTTTTCATCATAAAAATAATTGAAAGTTGAATGAAAAGCATTACACTCACCCAAATGACAGATATTGCCAGAAATGGGTCATCTTGAGCTAGTTGTCACTGCTGTACCCAAATCTCTGTAGAGGTCAACACCCACATTTCACTTCACCTCATCCTCATCCTCACCACATTAGCATAATATAATTTGCAAGTGACAGTTATATTAAATGACTTAGCTCTTTACAAACTGAAATATAAAGTTTTAACTCCATCTTTGCATTGTGTTTCAGCTACGATCTGTCAACCACCTGGGGATGCCACCTTTGCCACTATTTCTCATATTGGTCCGTACCCTGTAGGTACCACTGTGAAGTACACGTGTTACTCAGGGTACCAGCTTCTGGATGGATCTACTTTCGTGCAGCTCACATGTCTGTCCAGTGGCACGTGGGATGGGCTGCCACCTATATGCAAGCGTACGACAATTTTGTTTTGAAATTTCAATTTTTGCAATTTTTTCAGACACACTTAATTAATAAATATATTAAGTCCATCCTAATTGAGCATATATTTTCTGCAGTAACACATTTCTGGAAGGTTGAAGGATTAAATTGTTGTTCTAAAATAAATTTTCTTCGGTCATTATATCACTTGTCCAGGTTAGAAAAGATAATATTATTAAATTAATAGAAAGAGTGTGTATTTATTTATGTATTTATTTTTCACCAGATATTCACAGGTACATGTAATGTCTCTGGCTAAATATTGTCAGTTTTCTAACTGTGGCTGGTGGAAAATGTGCCAATAACATCTGCCACCCTGGTACAGGTTATCAATCATGTACTGTATGTCAGCAGTTCATTTGTCACAGAAAGACAATGCTATTTATCTAATTGCTTCCAACTGGCCAAAAGTTACATGTTGACTAGTGGAAAATGTAGCTATAATATTTGCTGCCCTAGTAGAGGGTAGTATTTATTGATGATCTTTCTTTCATTCATTTATCCTTTTATCATACTCATTTTAATTGGTGAAAATCCTTTTGTTTTCTTTTCCAACAGAAAAAACTACTTGCGATGACCCAGGTCCTGGAATGAACGCAGTGCGTGATGTTAATCAGTTCCCAGTGGTCAACGGGACAGTGATTACCTACACGTGTAAGCAAGGCTTCACCATATATGGTGGGTTCACGGAGAAGAAAATCACGTGCTTACTAGGGGGGCGCTTTGATTGGAGCCCTCCTACTTGTCTTGGTAAGTACTTGAATAAGATACCAGCAACTTGGTAATGTGTTGTAAGCATGATTCTAAGATTTGTTTAGGAAATGATAAATTGTGTTTGTAAACAAAGGGTTCACCTGCCAATTTCAGTCCACTTTCTAGGTAAATTTGCTGGTAATGTCTCACATTGATTTTAAAACATAGCTAAAAATAGTAAAAACTTTATTGATTTTCCAGATATTAATTATTCACTCTTTTATTTGCATTAGATAACCATTATGATATATATATTGGTTGGATGTTAGTGAGAGTTTCAAGTGCCAAATCTTGATTTGAGAGTTTGTATGTCAAAAATTTTCTCAAATGTTGTTTCTTTCTTTTCCAGAGTACACACTTGGTGAGTTTTGTTTCATTATAACAATATAATGACATTAAAGCATCATGTAATTTTCTTAAACCATGTAATCCTTTTTTTTTTTTTTTTTTGCAAAAGTAATGACTTAGAGGCAGTTCACCAGCCTTTAACTTGCTGTCTTTAACTTGTTGTGAATTAATTTTGTTAATTTTGACATTTTAGTTTGCAAACAACAAATGAGTAATGCTAAATGGTGTTTGTTTTAAGGTGAGTACTGTGACTACTGCCTTGATTTGGACGGCCCTGGACATTACGTAGACAGGACAGACTGCAGCAGGTTTATCCAGTGTTACAGGTCAGAGACTGGGGAGGCTATCGCTGTGGTCAAGTACTGCCCGCCAAATCTATTTTGGAGCCAGGAGGATTTAACTTGTGTGAGATGTGAAGACACTACTTGCACTGGAGTTAATACAGGGAAACCAGACTGCGGAGACATAGGTATAGGGGATTTAAGATGCATTGACATCAGGGTCAAATTTGTCTGAACAAGTCCCAGTGTGGTGGCTATAGTTTAATAAACAACTAGAATTTTTTCGTTTGAAGATGTACTGAACAAAACAACCTACAGATGATATTGTATAATGTACCCATGTTTGATGTTTTACAAAGATGTGCTGTTAGACAAGTCATTTAAATTTCATGTACTTCTTTGTCTAGAGGTCATTTATTGAGGACACATTAAGTTTATACTTGGTGTGAATGATCTTTTATGGATACACTACATATGACAGATTTTATAAAAAAGGATGCTGCACTGAACATATAGTTGTGTAAATGTAAGGTAGTTCGTGAATTTTCAGGCAAAAAATTACATATTTGTAATCAATAATGTTTTCAACTAAATGCACTTATTTAAATAAAAATATCATTTATAAGAATTTTGAGAGTGAAAAACTGAAAACTCAAAAAAAGAGTACATGATGATTTTCCGATAAAAATTCAACTAATTATTATATGCAATCAATATCTTAATTATATTATTCCTAAGCTGTCCTATTTTATGATTTGCAGGAAGTTGTCCAGAAGGGTTCCACGCAAATCCCAGTAATTGTGCAGGGTATATATGGTGTACTCAGACGGCCNTCAAAAAAAAGAGTACATGATGATTTTCCGATAAAAATTCAACTAATTATTATATACAATCAATATCTTAATTATATTATTCCTAAGCTGTCCTATTTTATGATTTGCAGGAAGTTGTCCAGAAGGGTTCCACGCAAATCCCAGTAATTGTGCAGGATATATATGGTGTACTCAGACGGCCATTTTGTATAAATGTTGCCCATATGGAACTGCCTGGAATGATACAACTTCATCTTGTGTGCACAAACCTCCTGAGTGTACAGATGTCTGTGCTGCGCCTATTTCTAACATTACTACTACTACTACAACTGTCGCACCAACAACTACAGGAGAGAGTGGAGGTTAATTATTTTTCTTTTTGTTAATCCTGATGTTAAGGGGCAGCTAGTCCCAATGGCTGTATACAGAAAGACTTCGTTTCTATCCTTCTTGATTTCTGTAGCAAAATTACCTATCTATCCCACAGAAGCATGTTGGGAATAGATCAAGTTGTTTGAAATAAGCAATTTTTTTTAAACTATTTAGGAAACAACTAACACAAACCAAAGTATATATGGCAGAATGCATATTAATTTCATACTTGTCAAATAGTGCAATTTGAATGCGAGAGGCTGATCTTGTCCATCGTGCTTTACCAATTTCTTCTTTTTTTTCAGTTATCTGTACTTATGGACCCTATAAGAAAGAGGTGATAGATAGCACAAGCTATTATTTGCTGTGGTACGGAGGGGTTAAGATCTATATGTCATGTGGAAACCAAGTTTTCGATGTTTCAATCTGTGATTGTGCCAAGTCCAGTGACCTGTGTGAAGGTACGTATACTGTAGTGCATATACATTTCTCTCTTTTTAATGCCCTTATTTAATACACTAGCTATCTACCTGCTATGTAACTGTTGTTTATTTACAGCTATAAATTATTATATAATTATCTGTTTTTCAGTCTTTTCTAAAGTGCCAGTGTTTTATGGATATTTCTGAAAATATGACATTAAAAAAGGTTAAAATCAACCACACTTTAATTTATATATTAGCAACCTCTTCTCTCCTCCTCTTCTTTAAGATTTTTGCATGGATATGTCTTCCTTCATCAAAACACCCTGTGTTTAAGAGAATAATAGAAACTCTGCTACATCAGATACTGCCAATGGCAGATACATAGATGATACTAGTAAAGAGGTAAATTTTCAATATCCTTAGAAACCCAGGGTTTTAAAAATGTAAAGAATGAAAAGGGGTCCATCTGATATATTGCTTATAATTTTCTGTTTTTCGTTTTACAGGTGAATACGCCATTGCCTGTTTTCCATTTGACAGCCATTACCATGACTCCACGGGGAATATATGGTGGACGAAAACTACAAACATGCAGCTCGTTTCTGTCGCAAAACACGGGATGTCTGCCTATTTCAATGGCAACTCGTCCTTTATGGAGATCCCATTCTTTCAAAATTACCAGTTCCCATTAACATTTACATGCAGTTTTTGGTACATGTCTGTCAGTGGTATGGATAGCGACAGAAAGGGGCTAGTTAACAATGGCGACTGTGAGCATGAACCAATGTTCACAGTGAGGCTCAGCAATGGTGAAACTGGAACGCTCAGTGGAGGAGTTTACACAGTGAATGAACATAACCTCACCAATGCATATGCAAATATACCGGTGCGTAACCACCACCCCCCCCCAAAAAAAAAAATATATATATATATATATATATATATATATATATATATATATATATATATATATATATATATATTTTATAAATTTTATTTTTATTATTATTTTGTTATAAATAACATAATAATAATTATAATGAAAAAATATATATATATATATATACCCATCATAACTGATAGAATGTTATTTCCAGTAGATTAGATTACTATGTTTAGAATTGTAATTGGATACAATAATCATCATAAATTGTAAAGCCCTACAATGTATGTGAGTACCTTGATATAACTCTTTCTATTTGGCAATTTAATCATGTGTTCTTTTATTGTGACAGAAGTGTATGTGTGTGTGTGTTTGAAAGAGAGAGAGAGAGTATTTCAACATAAAGTTGATAAGAAATAGCAAACCAAAATTTAATCCACACTATAATATTATACACCTTTGATTAATCCGTTGATGTAAATATGAACATTTAGGCCATGTTGGAGGTGTGGCATCATGTTGTTATGATGTGGGACGGGACAGCGGTCACATTCTACCTTGATGGAAGCCTTGTCAGTGCCACCAATGTTAACATCGGAAGTGGTATGTTTTCTGTTGTATTGAAAATCTAATATTTTGTATTGATTGTGAAGTGAGATTTAAAAGAAGCTCATGAGAAGCAGATACAGCCGGTATTAACAATTTACGTAAGATCTACATTTACAATAGTCATGGATTTCTCATAGTTTTCATTCTTTTATTTTGTTTTACTGTGAATTTAAAATTTTCATGTTGTTTTCAAACATTAATCAACAAAGTAATATTATCATAGATTATATGTTCAAGAAATAATGATGTTCATTAGCTTGCGATGTTCAAAGTTATTTCTTCTTTAGAGAGAACAGCACATGTATATTATATAGTTTGTTTCAAATACAAAAAAAATAGCTTAAGGGAAAAAAACAAAATTGCAACATGGCATCGTTAATATGCTTTGTATAGATATCCAAACCATCACGCCCAACTTATGTTTTAACATGGAGTGAAACTATTTCATCTTCCTCACAAACTTCTTTGACCATGCGACGCACTCACCGAGATAATAAATTACTTCGGCAGTGCACCGAAAAACTAAAAAAAATGTAAGTCTTACGTAAGCAAACTATTCCCCCCTGGCTCCACTAAATCAAGGCTAAGATATGGGAACGGCCGGAAATGATGATGAAATACCTTGCCTGGCTATCTGGAGTATATCGTAGTGTACTTGTCGGAGTACCAAAAATATGATTTTCATTCTTCTTATTTTTTGCAATTTATTTATTCAGAGTTTAAGATCTAAAATCTGTTTAAAACTTCATTATTTTGGATTTGTTTAAGATTTTAAAAAACATAATTAAGCGAGAAGGCATCTCTCTTCATGTTGACGTACATGTACTTTTGTGAATCAGATTTTAAAAATATCCCTGTGATACGGGGAACTGTGATCGTTGATCAAATAAAATTAAATAATAATCCATGGAATCCTCCACCATCTCCCCCAACGCACACACACAAAACACACACATTAAGTCCTCGATGTATTTCTTTTTCAAGGTTTAATTAAGAGGTCTCCCGTGTCACTTATCCTCGGCCGCAGCGTCTACTGCGACTACCAGTTTGATGACAACACATTCCTACACGGATACATAGATGAGGTAAGACTTGGGCGTTTTCAGCTTAAAATCATAAATTGAATACGTCTCTTTATGTTTATGAAATATCGAGTCATGTGTTACGGCGGTCAGCAATAAGTTTAATATTTTGGTTTATAACAGGAGAAGCCATAATACGTTTGCCACTAGCCTCACTTGCGAATATATTTTTTTATTTAAAAAGAGATGTATTTAAAAAAGTCAACTATGACGTGAAGGGATTCTGGGCGGGCATGGGGGTAGGGAGTACCTTGTATAGATAAATATTAGATAACTGTTCTAGATGGCCCGGCCAAAAGTAGGTTCAGAAAGTGAATTATGATTTTTCCCCGAAAAGGGGCTTGTTCTAGCACGTTAGGCTGTAGTAGTACTATTCTTAAACAAATCTGTGTATTGATTTGAATACTGAGTACACGCGCGTAGCACTCATGTTAGTGTCCAGTTTTATTCAGTAAGGACAAGCCTCGTGGGTATAGGGTTAAAAAGTCGAAAGCCTGTGGAATGTACAGAAGATTTTATCTGATAAAAGATGTCTTAGTAAATAATTATGTCCATCTTTGTTGTATAGTATATATCAACGTAGGCAGACTAATCATAGGTATTGAGAAACCCTTCAGGGTCATTACGACACAAGGGGGCGTGGCACGCCAGCATAAGGCGTTGGCTTGATTTATTTCGAAGCATAAAAGTCGTTAGAGTGCATTTCCATGCTCATGTTTTAACATGCACATTGGGCGAATTGATGTCTTGCTTCTTTTTTTTTCATTTTAGCTTAAGATGTTCCGGAAAACTTTGACTATAACGGAGATCCAGTATCTCTACCACGAGTATGACTGAATAGCTCAAAAAAGCGACATGGCAGATCTCGTCCTACTCATGGGCTTCTATGAAACATATTATGAAAAAGTGCCTTATGGAACGGGGGGTTGGGCACTTTGATTAAAGTTTAATGTCACAGACAACATGACATGATTTCAAATATATCTTATTTTGTAAGGATTGGATACTTGACGGTGTATGTGTATTAATTATTGGCTTTATATTAATTATATATATAACCAGTCAGAGACTTATGTAAGTTTTATGAACGTCAAAAGTGTTGACAGTAGCTATTGTGAGAATAAATTCATGAATGAACATTTATGTCAGAAGCTGTTTTACGATGCGAAAACAAAATGAACTTTAGTTACTATTGTTATGACGCATAAAGTGTTATTTTATTCAGTTAATTTACTACTTAATAAATAATATTGTTGTATGGTTAACTGTTTTACTGTCCTTCTTCGCGAGTAGCCTGATATTTGCAAAAACGGTCTCAAGACATGGATCGAATGAAATTTGGCCATTTAAGGCCGTTTTAATCCTCGCTCGATAATAAACCTGATAATCCGAATGATTAAGAGGCGTGGCATAACCGAAATATCTAATAATACAGTACAGTAAATGTGTTGCGTTTCATAATGTCATCAATATTAACGGGTCTGCTTAATAATGTTCCGTTTCATTTATATTAAGGCGTTTAAATTGCGAAAATTAAATGCGCCTTATACGCATTTTCCTAAGAGATTATGTAAATGTTCGTCTTGGTAGTGGAAACACTATTTGCATGTTAGATATTTTTTCAGTTACGCTAGTCATCTAATACTGTTACCAT